CCCTACTGATCAGAGCAAAGCAGGCAGATGACACATCGGGTGAGATTTACTAAAATAGGTGCACACAGAATCTGGTACAGGTGTGCATAGTAACCAATCAGCTTCTAACTTCAGATTGTTCAATTAAGCTTTGCCAATAAAACCTAGAAGCTGATTGGTTGCTATGCACAGGTGCGCCAGCTCCTGTATGCACCAATCTTAGTAAATCTCGCCCATCCTGTCTTCTCAGTTTATGCAAGACGTGGATAGAGCCTGCTCTGCTTTATGGGCTGGCCGGGAGCAAACAAACTCCACTGTCTGTTTACACACAATTACCCTCTGATCCGCTCTGCCGAAATGGAAGAGGATGGATCCCCTTCTGTTTTTTTTTTAGCTGAGCCAATTGGACCCAAAGGTAGGCGGTTGTAAATGGACACAAGTCCGTTTATAATTGCCTGCCCATAGAGACGAATGGGCCTTCCAATCAGGTTCCCCTGAAAAACTGACAGGCGGACCTGATGAGAATGGCTTTGTAAAGGTGCCTAAAGGATATGTTAATGGATGAAGTAAAATACAGTTTAGTCAGGGTTCCTTGAAGAGATGGGCTTTCAGGGATTGCTTAAAGGCAAAAGGAAAAGATAGCCAAACACATTGGTTTTCCAGGAGTTCAAGAGGATGGGAGAGGGTCTGGAGAAGCTCTGCAGATAAGCATGGGAGGAGGTGATGGACTAGAGAAAAAGACAACTTGGGAGGAGTGAATATGACAGTTTGGTTGTTTTTTTTAGACGAAGATGATTTAGCTCAGGGTTACACATTTGGAGTTATTGTGGTGAATTTCATCTTGACCACTTTCAAGTGCTATGATACTTTGACAATTATTCGGTCATGCAACACTGTACTCCATTCATCAGGTACAGCTATGTTTTGGTGCTATTTAGTAACTGTACAAGACAGTACAAGCACCCCAAAAATTACCCCTTTTAGGAAAGTAGACAATTCAAGGTTATCTCATTTTTATACACAATTGTTTGGGAAACAAGAAACATGGTGGTACTGAGGGAGTTAAAACATGGAGCTAGGCATTGGTGCACTCCATATAGAACATACAGGTCATATACAGAGGGGCAAAGTGGTGAAGGGGTTAATGTGCAGCTTACATGCAGTGGGGGATAGAGATAAAGTGGTAATGTGCAGGAGAAGAGGAGAGGGATTAATATACAGATCACTAAGAGACAGGCTGGAGATCACTAATGTAGGGGAGGGGGTTAAAGCAATAAACTCTATTTACAGTTGTTGCTCCCCTGATATGTACAGTACTCAGAACTAATGAATGAGTCATTCATTCATTCATTCTTTAGTTCTTGTTTCCTCCCCTGTTGCAAGAATGGGCTCACAGATATAAATACTACATTGATTACATCTGTGTCTCTAAGACCAATCACAGTGATCCCAAGGTACAGAGCCATTCTGATCAGCCTGCTAACTGAGCAGTTTAACAACACCTCACTTCATACGCATTAATTGGTGCAGTGGTCATACAGCTGTGCTCTGACCAGTGCCATTTATAAATGGAACTGGGTAAGTGAACTGTGCGCCACTTTGCTCTTTTTAGATGAATAACAGTAATAAAGTGGTTAAAGCAATTCTTGGAGTATTTTACTGACACAACTGCTGGTCCCAATATGACAAATGTGTGTGTGCAAGTTTCCAAACTCAAATTGTCTGCTTTTGGATACACACATCTGCATATCTGTCAAACTGGGGACAGTAGCTGTGTCCATACACCTACTGCATCCCAAAGCACATGATTGGGACTGCCTGCACAAAGAAGCACGGAAAACCAGTGCATCTCCTGTAGGCAAAGACACCCATTAACATGGATAAATACACCCCTGTTAATGAGGCCGAAAGTGAACTTTTCCATTTGCCAAGAATAGTTACACCTTCATAAAAAGTGTTTCAAACACACTCCTTCCTTCCACAAAAGATACAGTTTAAAGCTGAACTCTTCTCATTACAGGTAAATAATGAGTTCCAAGCAGAAACAACCTGCTGTCTCTGAGTGCTTGGCAAAGGAGGGTTTCAGGTTGTTCAACATCCACAGAAGGCTACATAATGTTAATAGAGATGATGACACCATTGACAACAGACAATATTTTGTCATTAAAGTGAAAGAAAGAATGCTGCTGTGCTTAGCAATAAAGGTAAAAATACCAAATACCAGTTTGTAGCAACACCACAGACATCCACAGAAGGCTACAGAATGTTTACAGAAATTATACCATTGACAAGGGTTACCAATGACAAAATATTAAATAAATACCATATAGACCGCGCCTGGGCTGTGCAAACAATAAACTTAGTGACAATAAATAAATGTTTGGTAAAAGCTTTAATGGTGGGGACAGACTATAAAAAATGCAAGTCACAAAAAAAGTGCCCAAAGCCTGGCACAGGGTAGGTGTATTCAGCCTTGTAGTATATGAATGGAAGTTACAATGGCCGCCGCGTTCCAGTGTGCATTCCAGAGGGCGGAAGTGACGTCGGCAGAAGTTGCGTCATCAAACCTCAACACGTTTCGATCAATAGGAAGGCTGAATACACCTAGTGCCAGGTTTTGGACACTTTTTCTGTGAGTCGCATTTTTACAGTCTGTCCCCACCATTAAAGCTTTTACAGTTTTACACTATGGGATGTCTTTTTTTGTTTTTATTTTAATGCTGAATACTTGAATTCTGCTTGTGGAGGAGAGGAGGGATTTGTGGTATTGATATAGCACCTGTGGAGGTTTACCGGTTACCATTAGCAACACTGCTTAAGGTTTATGAAGGAACATCAGTTACTATTACCACGTTGCACACTGGGATAGCCCCAAAAGCGCATATGACCATCCTAGAGATAGGTGGTCATGGGATGACCGTGACTGCAAATTCATGTGGGGCACCAGTCTGAGCGCAGTGGAGCACTTGTCACTTTAATATGGAGTTCACAAACAAGGATTGAGCACCATTGCACTTTATTCACATTCTGGGACTGAGTATTATTACCAGTATAATTTATGTTTTTTTTGATATCACCAAATATTTATTTATTGTCACTAAGTTTATTGTTTGCACAGCCCAAGCGCGGTCTATATGTTATTTATTTAATATTTTGTCATTGGTAACCCTTGTCAATGGTATAATTTCTGTAAACATTCTGTAGCCTTCTATGGATGTCAGATATCATGTAACCTTCCTTTGTCTAGAACTCAATGACAACACATTGCTTCTGCTTGGAATCCATAATTTATCTGCAATGAAAAAGAAGAATTACTGTAGAGAAAGAGCTACTCCACAAACTTGTGAAATTTGAATGATCTATGTATGTTAATAGAAAGTTATGCCCGCTTTTGTATTACTTTCAGTATAGCCCTCATATACAGTATTAATACTATGTTAGAGGATGTTTAAGAATTTCTGTGCTTAATAATTTATCTGTAAGTAAATAGATTGCTAGTTTGTTAGACTGACATTTTTAATATTTTCTAATACAGGTCTATTGTTGTATTGATACTGTCACTCACGTGTAGGAACTCTCTTTACTAGCTCAAGTCACTACATATATTAGATCTGTAAAAGTGTATGGATTTTGGGTAACACGCTTCACCTTGTACAGTGCGAAAGGCAAGACAGCAGCATGCAATAGGGAAATAACTGAGTTCGGGGACAGACTGGAGCAGAGTTTAGGTTAATGGATTTTAACCTAGTATGTTTTATGGTTGAATAATTCATATATGGTGATCTGAATCTGTAAACTTTGTTGGATAAAAAGGTTGCCTTGACAGTTGCTGGGGTAAGATCAGGGGCGGACTGACCATTTGGAAACTAGGGCACTGCCTGAGGGCCTGGGGTCAGTAGGGGGCCCCATGAGATGCCCCTGGTACCTTTTTCATAGGCTTTTTTGAGTTTGGGCAAGGACACGGGCCCCATGATCCCCTATTGCCCGGGGGCCCCATCAGTTGTCAATCCACCCCTGGGTAAGATACAGTATCATCTGTACAGTGCAATGTTCTTAATTCATAGACTTGCCTTGTGAAAAGGAACAGTAAAGCACAATCATTGTGCAGCACTGGAAAGCATCAGGTGGAACCTACAAATATAATGAACAAATATGGCTTGGAAATAGCACAAGGGCGCCATAGGTCTTAAGATCAAAAAAGCAATGTTTGTGAATGTTATATAAGGTATGGCCAGCATCACAAATCTCTACACAAATATCAGCATTTTATTGGGCTACAGCAGACCTAGAAAGCCATCCCATGCTATTCTACTATTAACACTATGAAAACTAAAGGACAGCACACAGTGGCCAAATGGTTAGCACTGTTAGTTTGCTTGTTCTCCCTGTGCTTGGGCAGGAAAGGGGGGTGGGAGCTGAAACATAACAGACTTACTGGTCAGATCACTAGATGAAAACCTAAAAAACGAAAACAAATGCAGCCATCACATCTAAAAATTGGTAAGCTGTAAGATAATAAATGTTTGCTTTCGGGTTTCATACCACTTTAACCACCTCCCGCCCACCTTATAAGGAAATGATGGACGCAAGGCGGTTCTCTTGTTCTGGGAGGACATCATATGACATCCTCCCACTCTAACTGCACGTGTGCAGCTCCAGGAGCGCCCAGCATGGCGATTGATGGTGCGCTGTGTCCCTCGGACACAGCGGATCACCGATCAACAGAAAGAGCCGAAGATGTCGGCTCTGTCATGTGATCAGCTGTGTGCAATCACAGCTGATCACATGTAAGTAAAGGAAATGCCGATTATCAGCATTTCTCTTTTCACGAGCTGTGACGCTGATAGCTCATGAGGAGAGGAGAGCTGGTAATCGGCATTCTTCGGAGGGGACATGTACACTGATCATCAGGGTACTGATGATCAGTGTGCCCCATCAGTGCCACCTGTCAGTGCCACATCAATGCCACATATCAGTGCCTACCAGTGCACATCAATGCCGCATATCAGTGCCCATCTGAGTTGCCTTTCAGTGCCACCTATTAGTGCCCCAGTCAGTGCCACCTATCAATGCCAGTCAGTGCCACCTATCAGTGCTGCCAATCAGTGCCACCTATCAGTGCCAGTCAGTACCACCTATCAGTGCAGCCAATAAGTGCCACCTATCAGTGCCAGTCAGTGCCGCCTATCAGTGCCTGTCAGTACTGAATATCAGTGCCACCTAACAGTGCCACCTAACAGTGCCAGTCAGTGCCGCCTATCAGTGTTGCCTGTCAGTGCCATATATGAGTGCTGCCTTTAAGTGCCCATCAGTGATGCCTGTCAATGCCCATCAGTGCCACCTACCAGTGCCTCCTCATCAGTGCCACCTATCAGTGCCCATCAGTGCAGCCTATCAGTGCCCATCACTGCTGCCTCATTATCACACATCAGTGAAGGAGAGAAGTCACTTATTTACAAACTTTTATAACAGAAACTAAGAAAAAAACATTTTATTTTTAAAATTTTCCATTGGATTGTTTAGCAAAAAATAAAAAACCCCGAGGTGATTAAATACCACCAAAAGAGAGCTCTATCTGTCTCAAAAAAATGATAAAAATTTCATGTGGGTACAGTGTTGCATGACCGCGCAATTGTCATCAAAGTGTGACAGCGCTGAAAGCTGGAAATTGGTGGTTAAAGATGTTAATTACTTGACAGTAAAAAAAAAACTTTAAATAGGCAAATAAGTATTTTTGATGAATTATTAATGTTCCGGTTGTATGCTTTTGCCCAGTGAAAGTTACACTTTATAGGGTGAAACATTTAATATTTATCATTGGATTGTAGATAAAGCTGGCTTGCACACAAAAGGCATAGTACAATTCCCAAATTAAAAAAGTGACTTGTAACAGTAAGTTTGCCTTATTATCTGAAACTGCTCAAAAATAGATATTTTGATTTTCATGTCCTCTACAGTACACTGCTGTTGGCATGTTTACAGTGCCTTGAAAAAGTATTCATACACCTTGAAATTTTCCATATTTTGTCATGTTACAACCAAAAATGTAAATATTTTTTATTGGAGATTTATGGAATAGACCGGGTGTCGGCAACCCGCGGCTCCAGAGCCGCATGCGGCTCTTTTTCACCGTGGCTGCGGCTCCGGAGCACACTGCCCAACAGGTGACAGGCAATAGGGCAACAATGGGCAAACTACGGCCCGGCGGACCTTTTAATCCGGCCCGCGGAGCTAGGCTCCTCTCACAGTCCGCCCTGAAGACCGGTGTAGCATGAAAATCTGTCTCCTATGAGGATCTGTCCCCCTCGACGTATCTGCGCATGTGCCGGAGATCGATCGCCGATCGGCTGCTAATGCCTGAAACTGGCACATGCGCAGATACGTCGAGGGGGACAGATCCTCATAGGAGACAGATTTTCATGCTACACCGGAACAGCGCGGGGGCAAAGGTAAGTGAATTGACACAGGGGGGACTTGGGGACTTAATATGGGGGATGAATTAATATGGGGGATGAATTACTATAGGGGGGATGAATTACTATATGGGGGATGAATTACTATGGGGGATGAATTACTATATGGGGGATGAATTACTATGGGGGATGAATTACTATGGGGGAATTACTATATGGGGATGAATTACTATGGGGGATGAATTACTATGGGGGATGAATTACTATGGGGGATGAATTACTATATGGGGGATGAATTACTATATGGGGGATGAATTACTATAGGGGGGATGAATTACTATGGGGGATGAATTACTATGGGGGATGAATTACTATATGGGGGATGAATTACTATGGGGGATGAATTACTATATGGGGGATGTATTTTCAGTTTTAAAAATGTGGCTCTCAAAATAAATTTCAATCGTGGTTTTGGCGAGATTTGGCTCAGTTGAAAAAAAAGGTTGCCCACCACTGACCTAAGGCTATGATTGTGATTATGACGATACACTGTGGCCCTGATTAACCCTTTGCTTACTGGGCCCTTAAACCCCCTTCATGACCAGAGCGCTTTTTGCAATATATGCAGTGTCGGATTTGTTTTAAATGTTGCAATGGTTTTGCGGCTCCCAGACTTTTTTTCCCTCTCGGAAACGGGTCCAAGTGGCTCTTTATGTCTTAAAGGTTGCAGACCCCCGGAATAGACCAACACAAAGTGGCACATAATTGTGAAGTGGAAGGAAAATGATAAATGTTTTTCAACATTTTTTACAAATATATATCTGAAAAGTGTGGCGGGCATGTGTATTCATCCCCCTTTACTCTGATACCCCTAACTAAAATCTAATGGAGCCAATTGCCTGTAGAAGTCACCTAGGCATTAGTAAATAGAGTCCACCAGTGTGTAATTTAATCTCAGTATAAATACAGCTGTTCTGTGAAGCCCTCAGAGGTTTGCTAGAGAGTATTAGTGGACAAACAGCATCATGAAAGCCAAGAAACACACCACACAGGTCAGGGATAAAAGTTGTGGAGAAGTTTAAAGCAGGGTTAAGTTATAAAAAAATATCCTAAGCTTTGAACATCTCACAGAGCACTGTTCAATCCATCATCAGCATTAATCAGAGAAGCAGCCAAGGGGCCCATGGTAACCCTGGAGGTGCTGTGGAGACCCACAGCTCAGGTGGGAGAATCTGTCCACAGGACAAGTATTAGTCGTACACTCCACAAATCTGGCCTTTATGGAAGAGTGACAAGAAGAAAGCAATTATTGAAAGAAAGCCATAAGAAGTTCCGTTTGCAGTTTGTGAGAAGCCATGTGGGGGACACAGCAAACTTGTGGAAGAAGGTGCTCTAGTCAGATGAGACCAAAATTGAACTTTTTGGTCTAAAAGCAAAATGCTATGTGTGGCAGAAAACTAACACTGCATGTCACCCTGCGCACACCATCCCCACTGTGAAACATGGTGGTGGCAGCATCATGTTGTGAGTATGCTTTTCTTCAGCAGGGACAGGGAAGCTGGTCACAGTTGATGAGAAGATGGATGGAGCCAAATACAGGGCAATCTTAGAAGAAAACCTGAGACTGGGGCGGAGGTTCATCTTCCAGCAGGACAACGACTCTAAACATACAGCCAGAGCTACAATGGAATGGTTTAGATCAAAGCATATTCATGTGTTAGAATGGCCCAGTCAAAGTCCAGACCTAAATCCAATTGAGAATCTGTGCAAGACTTGAAAATTGATGTACACAGACGCTCCCCATCCAATCTGACAGAGCTTGAGCTATTTTGCAAAAAAGAATGGGCAAAATGTCCCTCTCTAGATGTGCAAAGCTGGTAGAGACATCGCCAAAAAGACTTGAAGCTGTAATTGCAGCAAAAGGTGGTTCTACAAAGTATTGACTCAGGGGGGCTGAACACAAATGCACGCCACAATTTTCAGATATTTATTTGTAAAAAATTTTGGAAACCATTTATCATTTTCCTTCCACTTCACAATTATGTGTCACTTTGTGTTGGTCTATCACATAAAATCCCAATAAAATACATTTACATTTTTGGTAGTAACGTGACAAAATATGAAAAATTTCAAGGGTTATGAATACTTTTTCAAGGCACTGTATACATTAGCCATCATCTAATGCTAGCAATTATGACATGTTTAAAGAATAACTACATATCGTGTTGCCTGTCACCTGGTAAGGCTACTTTGTTGGTGCAGACAACTTTAAACAATGGATAAATTACAAACAAACTCTTTTGACTTCCCCCTTAACAAGTTATCTTGATGTGCACACCACATTCCCCTTGTCCTAAAATAGCATCCTACTACTGGACTATCAGTTGGTACATGTTCTACAACCCTTACTAAAACATACTATTTTCTCAAGTGAACCCCCCTATTCCCCATTGTGGACACTCCAAGGTTCATCCTTGGCTCCCTTACCAGCTCATTGTGTCCCCTTTTCACAAAAAGAAATAATTGGGGCCTCATATCTCATACTTGCATGTTGTTGGCTTACCATAGTCACAAAATGAGACAACCGTATATAGCCTCAACCTCTGGAAAACACTCTAGCTCAGACAGCTCCTGTCCCTTTTTGTACAGTTATGCACTGGTACAGGTCTATTAAGACACTCCTTTTCCATACTCTGCACTCAACTTGTACTACCAGCATGAGACTTCACATCCTCCTACTTGACCCAAGGGGAATGGGATATAAATGTCTCTTTTATGCCAGAACAGTGTCAAAGGATTATACATTTCTTGGTAACATCCTTAATTTGCAGTCTTCAAACTTCCAAGAGACAAATTTAAAAATTATAACTAGATGGTAAAGGACCCCATCCACCTTACATAACTTTTACTCTACAGTCTCAGAATTATGCTGGCGCTGCAAATTCTTTACCATATATTCTGCACATGTCCAACATTAGAAACCTTCTGGAAAAGAGTTAGAAGTATAGTTAAAAAATGTACAGACTACTTGATCCCAGAGGACCCTGCCTTCTTCTTCCTACAAAAAGCTCCAGAACCCCCTTCAAATCATATTGCAGAATGATTCTAAGACATCTACTGAACGTGGTAAAGGCCTGCATTCCCACGAAATGGAAAGACTCTTCCTCACCGATGACATCTACAGTATGTGGCTTAATAAGGTTGAGGAGATCAGAAAGATGGTGGACCTCATTCTTTCTTCCCAAAACAATCCACAAACATATCTTCAAATGTGGTTTTCTGCAATGACTTCACATTCTTGGAAGAAGGTAAAGCCGTAATGCTCAGCGTTACCTAAAATTACCACTATCTCCTCCATTCTGTGAACCAAGTGACATCTGTACCCCCACCTACACTCCTCCGTACTATTTCTCCCTCCCCCTCACCATTCTTTCCATTTCCCCTTTTACTGTTGACAGTTCCCCCATAGCCCAAAAGTGTAACTTAACCACATATTTCTCAAGCTCCTGCCCTTCGCATAAACCTTCCACTCATACACACTTACACCCCAAGTAAAAAAATGCATGCCAGAGACTTTAAACTCATCAGGCAATTCCTGCAAGACTGAACTGTTCTTAAAAATGGTAGCCTCTTTTCTAAGTGCCCTTATAGATTGATATGTCTAATGCTTTTTTACATTCATTTTTCATCTGGAGCTTAAAGTCTCCACTCTCTCACAATGTTTATAAGGGACAAAAAATTGTGTACCCAAGATTTTTTCAATTGTTATGTACTGCATTTTGTTCTGTAGTCTAAATAGAGAATTTGTAACAAACATTCTCCCATGTTAGAGTAAACATAATTTCTGAGATAGAAAAAGGTTTTTTGTCATGTTATAGTAACTTGTAACCAGTTTCTAGAAGTGGTTGTTGTCAGCTGCCTCTGGTCTGGTTGGCTATGACTCACAATATCCTAGAACAAGATATGCTTGCTTTGCATTTGTCTTTTACCATCTATCTTTCTCATCTGATCATTGTCAGCCACATTCTATATGTTCTTTTCAGCTTTGCTCATTAAATACACAAACAGAATTGTGAGAACATGCTTCAAGGCAGCACAAAAACATAGTAACAAAGGACTGATAAATCTTACTGTAACAAATCCTGGTATCGGTAATACTGTCAATCATTTTTTTATTCCATATTTAACTTTTCTATTATATAGTATAGTATTTTATTCAGTGACAAAGATTTTCTTTGTTTAATCTTGCATTTACTTTTGTAAGCACTATTAAATCATGTAATGTTATCAGAAATGATTGTGACCTATCCATCTGAGAGCAAAGATGCTAATAATATTACAACCTTTTTGGAATTAAATAAACAAATTCAAATAAATGAATATAATAATAAAGTACAAAAAATTGAAAAATAATCATAAAATTCAAAAAAAAAATACAAAAATAAAAAATTAAATAAAAAAAGTCCAAAGCAAAGTGTCCCAAAATGTCCCAATACAAAACACAAATAGTGTCAAACAGAAATAGTGTCCGAAAATTGTCCAAATATCCAAATTTTATCCAGTCAGAAGAAGTTCCCTTTCATCCCGTTATACCTCGAAAAAAACAAAATCAGAAATCTAGTGCATTACCTTTTATAAAAATAATATATTCCCTCCGTGCAAAAATACAACACAAAAACACAAAAAGTGTGCAAACACTATATATGTGTATTTTTCCGTGCACTTGTGAATGAATTGTGACCACTCAGTGAACACTGCAACACTGTGTATCCACCAACACCAATAGTACTAGATACTATTACCCTCTGTATCCATATACCAGCATCCACATGAGATCTTCTAAATGCTCCAATGAAATTATTCCAAGGTCCTCAAAAGACAAGAAGGGTCTCAAGGCTCATATTCAAAGTGTATTAAAAAGATTTAATGAGAACTTACATTAAAATTTCCTTATTTCGGCTTCCAACATGTTTCCTGTGTGAGTCCTAACAAACAGATGCAATATGCCATGTGTTGATAACCCACAAAATGGCCGCGGCGACACTTCCGGTCTGCGTGCGTGCGTCTACGTCACACCCTTAACGCGTTTCGTCACTTCCGGACTTAAAGATGCTAATAATGTTGGCATGCTTCATGTTTGTCTAGTTTAGCTTCACATATTTATGGACGCAGTGGACAGGGATATGTTAAATAAGATCCAGAAAATACTGCTGAATAAAGACAAACAGGATACAGAATACTTTTTGTTTTAGGTTTGGGTAGAGTAACAAATGCTTAGAACCTTCATCCATTCTTTTTTTTTTTTGCCTGTATCTCATTGGGCAGATTTTCCTTCCCTTCCCTTCCCTTCCCAAAAAGCAAGTGAGAAGAATATATTTCCAACTTGAAGAAAAATCTCCGCTTAGACAGTTGTCACCGGAACAGGTGTGCCCATTGTAATAATTCTCTATTTCAGTTCTGCAGACAATTGTAATATTTTGAGGTTTCCATCACTGTGTTTTGGTGACAACGGTCAACATGATAAATAGAAAGGGCATATCTCCCCAGCATGGACATAGTTCTTTGTAAAGAAGTATGCTGCTGAAATGTGTTTATACTTTAACCTGTTTCTTTTAATGACTCTTTAATACAGGCCAGGATGTGCAGTGAAGGCGCAGATATGGAGAAGGAATTGGACAGGAAGCTAAAGGGCCGGGTAGACACACAGAAGGGGAACACGAATATTGATGGAGGCTGGGCATGGATGGTGGTCTTGTCTTCTTTCCTTGTCCACTTGCTGGTTATGGGATCACAGATGGCACTGGGCATTCTCAACATGGAATGGCTGGAAGAGTTCAATCAAAGCAGAGGTCTGACAGCTTGGGTCAGCTCCCTGACAATGGGCATCACTCTGATCGTAGGTATGAAGTTGCACTAGAAGGATCTGCTTCTTTTGTATCAATTACAACTGTACAATTTTGTCTGAAGCCACTCATGGAGATAACATTACAATTGCTTGATCTGGCTGACCCCTATTGGGGGCACTGTTAGTTGGACACATTACAAAACATGCTCTCAATCACTATTTACTGTATCTCCCCTAAGATGAAAAGCCCAAACATTACTCTGCATTTTGCTATTTTCATGGCTTTGCTCAGCCCAGTATTTGTGTCTATGAATAACTCTGCTTTCAAAAGTACCAGAGTATACCTATATCCTATGTCTAAATGCACTCAAGGATATATAAACAGAAGTGCTGTTCTTCTTCCCACAGAATATGTACACTGACAAAGCAGTACATACACACATACACTGTACACATAGAAGGGAGGCAAAGGACATTTTCACAGTTAAATTCTACTTGGATACTCTGCATGTGCAAGTCCTGGCTCAAATTCATTTGGTATGCATTAAACAGAGCTAATTTCTAACATACTGTGAATACACAATAAGCACATATGACAACTCTTTCTAACAGTGTTCTATCAATGGATGTCGAGTCACCCCCTTTTCTAGGATTAAACAATTAACATCTCGACATGATAAAGTATTTCAACTTCAGTTACAGTTTAAAAAACAAGCTGCTTAAAGTGGTTTCCTACTTGAATCAAAGATTTAATCAGAGCTGATTCACACATATGCTGTGCGGATTGAAGCTCAGGTTTCACAGCTAATTGATACAGTATTTGTTTGGCGGTTCATGTCAGGTTTACGTCAGGTTCAGGACAGGGTTAGCTCAGGATTTTATCTTGTTCACACGGTTCCCATAGAGGTCAATAGCCTGTAATCTGCACCTGAACCAGACCACACTGCTCAGAAATTGCACATGACTCTTTTTAAAACCACACTGAATCCACACCGCTGGTGCACCAGACACACAGTGGGGATCGAAACTTTGGGCACCCCAGCTAAAAAAATTGTATTAATGTGCATAAAGAAGCCAAGGAAAGATGGAAAAATCTCCAAAAGGCATCAAATTACAGATTAGACATTCTTATAATATGTCAACAAAAGTTAGATATTATTTCCATCATTTACACTTTCAAAATAACAGAAAACAAAAAAATGGCGTCTGCAAAAGTTTGGGCACCCTGCAGAATTTATAGCATGCACTGCCCCTTTGATTGTTCTCAATCATCATCTGGGAAGACCAGGTTATGTCAATCTCAAAGGTTTTAAATGCCCAGACTCATCTGACCTTGCCCCAACAATCAGCACCATGGGTTCTTCTAAGCAGTTGTCTAGAAAACTGAAACTGAAAATAGTTGACGCTCACAAAGCTGGAGAAGGCTATATAAGAAGATAGCAAAGAGTTTTCGGATGTCAATATCCTCTGTTCGGAATGTAATTTAGAAATGGCAGTCATCAGGAACAGTGGAAGTTAAAGCTAGATCTGGAAGACCAAGAAAAATATCAGACAGAACAGCTCGCAGGATTGTGAGAAAAACAATTCAAAACCCACGTTTGACTGCACGATCCCTCCAGAAAGATCTGGCAGACACTAGAGTTGTACACTATTCCACTATAAAGAGATACTTGTACAAATATGGTCTTCATGGAAGAGTCATCAGAAGAAAACCTCTCTTCTACGTCCTCACCACAAAAATCATCGTTTGAACTTTGCAAATGAACATATAGACAAGCCTGATGCATTTTGGAAACAAGTTCTGTGGACCGATGAGGTTAAAATTGAACTTTTTGCCGGAATGAGCAAAGGTACGTTTGGAGAAGGGGCACAGAATTTAATGAAAAGAACCTCTGTCCAACTGTTAAGCATGGGGTTGGATCAATCATGCTTTGGGGTTGTGCTGCAGCCAGTGGCACAGGGAACATCTCACGAGTAGAAGAAAAAATGGATTCAATAAAATTTCAGCAAATTTTGGATGGTAACTTGATGCCATCTGTGAAAAAGCTGAAGTTAAAGAGAGGATGGCTTCTACAAATGGATAATGATCCTAAACACACCTCGAAATCCACGGGGGATTACATCAAGAGGTGTAAACTGAAGGTTTTGCCATGGCCTTCACAATCTCCTGACCTCAACATAATTGAAAATCTATGGATAGACCTTAAAAGAGCAGTGCCTGACAGACAGCCCAGAAATCTCAAAGAACTGGAAGACTTTTGTAAGGAAGAATGGGCAAAGATACCTCAAACAAGAATTGAAAGACTCTTTGGCTGGCTACAAAAAGCGTTTACAAGCTGTGATACTTGCCAAAGGGGGCAGTACAAGATATTAACTGTGCAGGGTGCCCAAACTTTTGCAGACGCCATTTTTTTGTTTTCTGTTATTTTGAAAGTGTAAATGATGGAAATAAAATCTAACTTTTGTTGACATATTATAAGAATGTCTAATCTGTAATTTGATGCCTTTTGGAGATTTTTCCATCTTTCCTTGGCTTCTTTATGCACATTAATACAAATTTTTAGCTGGGGTGCCAAAACTTTTGATCCCCACTGTATGTGAACAGGCACCATAGGTAACAATGTTTTTTCATATGTCATGCGGATTGGATGCGGTTCAAACCTCATCCAATCTGCTTATATGTAAACGGGCACTTAAACCTTTTGTGAAGTTTTACCTTTGGAGTTAACAGATAAAGTTAATAATTTTTGCAGAATATCCAGCCCAACTGGACTTACCATTTGTTTTTTGTTCCTCTGCCAGTGGGAACTTGAGCCCAGCATAAATAGATCTTGGATATAGAGTATGTGGGCTTGCCTCCCACTGCTCACCAATAGCTTTTACAGCTACTACTTAGCAATACGTACATAAATCTTACCAGGTACCAGCCTACAATGACCTGTAATGTATCAAAGGCAGTTCTTTTTTTAAATTCAGAACATCTCATGAAGAGCTGTATGGTGCAGACAGGGGCCGTTCTTATAATACAAATAAGCTCCATTTTTTTGTAATTAATTTTATATTTTTTATAGCTTAATTTAATAAACATCATTTATATTACAGTATAGTAGCTCAAGCAACATTGTGTTGTTTGAAAACAACTCCATCAGAGCTAAACATCTCATATAAGACAACAGGAAACAGTTTTCTTGCTTGAAATTACCTAGTTGTCATGCTTTTTTTTTTATTCTCCAGGTCCTTTTATTGGCTTGTTCATTAACACCTGTGGATGTCGGAAGACTGCCATGATTGGAGGGTTCCTGACATCACTTGGATGGGTGCTGAGTGCTTTTGCCACCAATGTCCATTTTCTGTTCTTTACATTTGGAGTGATGGCTGGTGAGTGCAATATTGTCATCATTTAAAACATACTTTCTCAAACCTTTAACCACGTAGGAACCCTTAAAATAGTTTCCATGTCTTAAGAGATCCCCCACTAAAATTTTTAGACCTACAGCTTGTGGTACATTAGTGTGATCAGTATTAATAATGGCCAGAAAAGAGACATTGGCAAAGAAAATTGTAGTGACGTGGTAAACTGCTGGTCAGTGACCACATACATCAATGATCAGGGTAAGTGGACATTCTACATTGATGGTCTGTGATGAGTGTAAAAGTGACCCCTTACTTTGGTGGTCAGTGTAGAAATGACCCCTCACATCAATGGTCAGTGTAAGCAGGAGATGAATCTTCCACTGCTCTCATCTGAAGGAACCCCTAACATCCTCTGGAGGAACCCTGGGCTTCCACAGAACCCTTGTTGAGAAAGGCCCTTTTAGAGGCTATTCTACAATATGAACAGGAAAATTCACACAAACTAACCATATCCAATTCTGGGCTGTTTAGATCCCATGCTTTCCGCTTGTGATAATATAATGCTCTGTTGTTTTAGAGAGATCATCATGCAAATATATTCAATGATGTCCAGTGTACAGAAGCAGAGAGGGGAGAAAGGAAAATTTCGCTGAACAGGACATACAGTTTTAGATAAGATCTCCTGACATCTTATCAGTGCATGTCATATGAGAATAAAATGAATACAAATATGTCAACCTGTTATCCTTACACTAAGTAGAGAACAACAGTGAAGCAGCTAAAAATTCCTTTACTCACAATTTAAAATTCTCACCATTGTGGGTATTAAACAGCAATCATCTAATTGTTATTTGTAAACTAATTGTGAAGTATAACCAAATGGCATCCAGCAAACTGAAGTGACTGAACAGCAGCTGAATCCTATTATCTAAAGCAACTCAGTCAAAGAATGAAAAGGCAGCATAGGTTTGGGATGTGAGTTATATGTGATTATTAATCCATTACTGGAAATTTGAAGCTTACAAATGACCTGAATAACTGGACTAAATAGGGGCAGTTTCTGCCTTCTCCTCCCTCCAGTTGAAAGCATATTGTTGACTTTGAGCCAGGGTTGACAACCGCCCATAAACTTTTGGGCAATTTTTAAAAATCAGCCGATTTTTACCCTGTCCATAAATGTCTGGAAATGTCAAGCATTGCCTGTGAAAAAGTTGGGTCATAAGCTCAGTTCTGAAGCCAGCCAAATGGTGCTTGAACTTGGAATGGGATCAGGCTTGGGACAGGATCAAGTAGGTTCATGTGGGCTCTGGGTGGGTGCGAGTCTTGACATCATGACGCTTGGTGCTTTTTCTGAAAATTTACACTGGCCTTTGAAGTCTCTATTTGTATTGTCCTTGACCACCATTTCATCAGTCACCACTTGGTGGTGTCTGAAAGAATACCAGATGACGATCAGCGCAGCCAGTGCCTCTGTGTCTGTTTGTGTGTGTGTCTCAAGTTGGCCATAGATGGATTGAAATTTGGCCGGTGCAGCCAAATTTTGATCCATCTATGGCCGTTCTATCTCAACAGAAGATTGACTTCTGTTGAAGGGGACTGTTGGAAAATTTTTATACAATCAGCAGATGCAGCAAATGGCTGCCGTGCTGATCAGAATATTCTGACCAATCTAATGCCCAGCCATAGAATTTTGAGCCCAGTGTATCTTTTTCATTCCAAATACAATTCAATCCTGCATACACATAGAGATGTTTGTTTTAACATAGACACATGAAGGTTATTGTGCGTGCCTGTTCTTTTTTCAGGTATCGGCAGTGGGATGGTGTACCTACCTGCAGTGGTAATTGTGGGTCAGTATTTTCAGAAGCACCGTGCACTGGCACAGGGACTGAGCACCACTGGGACAGGGTTCGGGACATTCCTGATTACGGTGCTGTTGAAGTACTTGTGTGCAGAGTTTGGCTGGAGGAATGCCATGATAATCCAGGGAGCTATTACACTAAACCTGTGTGTGTGTGGAGCCCTCATGAGACCACTGGACCATATAGAAAAATGCAGCATGGAGAAGACTGGTGTTCACAAAACAGCTAAAGAAGTTTCCCTGCTGGAGGCTGATGTTGGGAAAGCAAACACTACCCTACCTGAGGAGGGAGAAGACACTGCAGTACCGTGGTGTAAGGAAGACTCCAGCAATGGTACTGTCAAGAAAGATATCACCAAACTGGGAATCCTGAAGTCATTGACCCGCCTGACTGTGACTGTGAGATGTGGATTTTGGGCCTGGTACTCTAGCTACTTTGGGGCAGCTTCCCTCTTCACCAACAAGGTCTTTGTAGCATTTGTGGTGTGGGCACTTCTGGCCTACTGCAGCTTTGTAATTCCCTTTATACACCTCCCAGAGATTGTGGAGCTTTACGGCATGGAAGAGCAAAACAACATCTTTCCACTCACCTCAGTTATTGCCATTGTGCACATATTTGGGAAAATTTTCCTGGGTTATATTGGTGACTTGTCATGTGTCAGTGCCTGGAATGTCTTCCTTGCTTCCAACTTTACCATGGGTATCTGCATTCTGATCCTCCCACTTATGCAAGTATACGCTGCCTTGGCTGTGATCTGTGCTCTTATAGGGTTCTCCAGTGGCTACTTCTCCCTTATGCCTGTTGTTACAGAAGATTTAGTGGGCATCAAGCAGCTGGCAAATGCTTATGGGATCATCATATGTGCCAATGGAATATCAGCGCTTCTGGGACCTCCATTTGCAGGTACAGTAACATGACACTAAAGCTAGCTCAACCTTTATATACCATGGGGCTGATTTACAAAAAAAAGATAGAAACCTGGACCAAAATGAAAGTGATTGTACCAGGGGCGGACTGACCATTTGGAAACTCGGGCACTACCCGAGGGCCCCGGGGACAGTAGGGGGCCCCATGAGATGCTCCTGGTACCTTTTTCATAGGATTTTTTGAGTTTGGGCAAGAACACAGGGGCCATGCTCCCCTATTGCCCGGGGGCCCCATGAGTTGTCAGTCCGCCCCTGGATTGTACACTTCTGTAATAAAAATTAACAAAAAATATCCTTCTATATTGTGCACTTGCCTCAATCCAGATCACTTAGTGTGATTTCTGTCTGCTCTTTCTTCCCTCTGCTATCTGTACAAGTCACTTCTGATCCTTAAAATGGCTGTAAACCCTCTCATATACTCAGTGAAGTGAATAGCCTCAGATGATACACAGAGATTAAAGTGTTACTAAACCCACAACAGTAAAATCAGTCTGTATATGCAGTAAAGCATGCTTGTTGTACTCACTGTGGAACCTAAGGGGTTAATCCTCTGCATTGTGTAAAAACGCTGTTTGATTATGACTTCTCTGCTCCTCCTCTTGTTCAAATGTCCCATGTGTTATCTCCTGGTAAAACAGACTGAACCTTACCCATTTTGCACATCCTCAATTTAGTGTGTATTACAAAAGAGTTTTTTTTTCTTTGGAGAGTGCATGTGATCAGCACAGTACCAATCAGCACTGTCTATACAGAGGTCAGGGGTTTTGCATCCTCCTACAGAAGAAAGAGAACTCCTTCTACAAGCTTTAACCAGTGCTCTACAGAACACTGATAGATGTCACGAGACTGTATGTGGTTTAAAACCACTTTAAGACATTTCTTCAGATCCAAAAGGGTTTCTTTTTTATTGTTTTGCTAATCAAACCAAATCTGTTATGAGCATCTGCTCTCATTTAATTTGTTTTTCATTGTACTAGTCTGAATCACCCAGTGTGTATAGATATTTGCTTCTGTTGGTCTATTTTTATACCTTTAAAAAAAACTACAGCTGAACTCCAGCCATACCTGCAGTCATGCAAAGTTGTATAGGCTCCTCACCTCCATTGAAATTGCTTACTTTGATTTTACTACACCATGCAAGCTTTTTACAGTGTGCATTAGAAGCTGCAGCAATTCAGACAGTGCCCTTCTCATTTTCTGGCAGGTGGATGTCCAGCTTCATCTAGCTCTTTCCTAGCACGAGAAAGACTTACCTTAAAGTGTTACTAAACCCAGGACCCTGCATTCACTATATCTGGTCTCCCACAGTACACAGAACATGGAAATGCAATTATTTTAGTAAATATAAACTGCTAAATACTTTTTCTCATCAGTTAGAGCAGTCATGTGACTTCTATTCATGTCCAGCAGAGCACTGGTTAAAGCGTGTAGGAGGAGTTTTCATTTTTCTCTAGGAGGATGCAGAACCCCTGACATCTGTCTGGACAGTGCTGATTGGCCCTGTGCTGATCACATGCACTCTCAAAAGACAAAAAAAATCCTCTCTAGCAATGCACACCAAAACTGAGCATGTGCAGAGTGTCTCCACAAGATATGTGTTATCAGGAGATAACAGGGGGGCAGTAGAAGAAGGAGAGGATCAGAGAAGTCAGGATCAAACAGCGTTTTTACACAATGAGGAGGATTAACCCCTTAGGTTCCACAGTGAGTATAACAAGCATGCTTTACTGCATATACAGACTGATTTTACTGTTGTGGGTTCAGTAACACTTTAAAAAGAAGCCCTCCAGCGGAGCTCTGTCACCACTGACAGGGCTTCCATCTTCATCTGGTCTTTTTTCTGGGTTTGTGGTCTCTGGCCATTTAAATGGCTGATCCACAATGACATCATGGTGTTATGGCACATAGGAGCCACGAGTGCAGCACAGCGTTCTGAAGGGACGGCACACTCAGTATGCTGTCCCTTTAGAGCGCAGTTTGCATGGGCCAGTGACGTCACCAGCTGCAGAAATAGTGAATATCTCCTAAACAGTGCACGTTTAGGAGATATTCCTTGTGCCTACAGGTAAGCTTTGTTATAAGTCACAAAGGGGTGTTTATTACTGCTTTACTACATCTTGGTTGCATTTATTTCCATGTATGTGGGTGGTGCTGTTTTATACAGATTTTACATTTTTATTAATGATTAGAGGGGAGGCTGTCAGGTAATCGGAAAGCATTTGATCTGCTGTGTACACTCAAATTCTACCACTGAGAAAGTGGCATGACATGTACTGCCTATGCTTGTTCAGTACAGAACTAATATGAACTGATCTCTATTCACCTGATCTTAGAAGCTGATCATTTGAGGTCATTTCATGAACATTTGTGAGAATTAGAAGCCCCAACCATGTTTATCCTGCAGGAGGTTAAAACTAATCCATCGTGGCTGCTGTTTCTGCATGTCTCCCGCTGTTCCTTGATTTTGTATATGCAAGGCGATTTTCATTATTAACGCTGGAGAGTCAAGCACTGACAGCATTCATTAGGCTGAGTACAGAAATGAGTGCAGCCAACTTTAACCAATCTTCAGTTGTTCCTTATTACAGCACCCAACATACATTTTATTATTTTCTCACATAGATTTTTAGAAGGAAGTTTATTTATTTATTTATTTTTTTATTTTTTAAATGACAAGAGAAACATGTTGGGAGGTATCTGAATAGGGAAAGGCTTTATATAGTTACATAGTTAGTCAGGCCAAAAAAAGACAAAAGTTCATCCAGTTCAACCATAAAAAAAAAAAGTTATAATCCTACACACACAGTCGATCCAGAGGAAAGCAAAAAAAACCCCAGAAAGCATGATCCAATTTGCTCCTGCTGGGAAACAAATTCCTTCCTGATCCCCAGAGGCAATCGGATATTCCCTGGATCAACTTTACCTATAAATGTTAGTATCCAGTTATATTCTGTGTATCTAGGAAAGAATCCAGGACTTTTTTGAAGCAATCCACTGAGCTGACCAGAACCAACTCTTGAGGGAGTCTATTCCACATTTTCACAGCTCTCACTGTGAAATTTCTCACCTGAAAAATCACCTGATCTTGTGTGTACATTCTGCAGCCCGGATGTTCTTTGATTGGCCAGTGTTCAGAGACATTTTTGGCTTGAAATTATACAGGTCTGAACAAGCATGAAAAGTAACTGTGTGCTGTAGATACAAGGCCAAGATAACACTGAGCTAGGTATGATTACTTTATATGCATGAGCTAAAGCTGAACACTAGGCAGATATAAAATGGCAAATGAAGGCAGGTCTGTAATGATTAAACCAGAAGTATGGGATAACAAAAACACACTTTCATACATATCTCTATGCTGTAGTATTAGTGTCAAGATGCAGCTGTCCCATAACAGCTTAAAGCAATATTTATTTATTACAGATACTTATATAGCGCCATCAATTTATGCAGAGCTTTACATGTATATAGTACATTCACATCAGTCTCTAACCCTTAAGGGGCACACAATCTAAGGTCCCTAACTGATATTCATACATACACATACTAGGGCCAATTTAGACATGATTCAATTAAGCTACCGGCATATCTTTGGAGTGTGGGAGGAAACCGGAGTACCGGGAGTCAACCCACGCTGGCACAGGGAGAACATGCAAACTCCAGGCAGGTGGTGCCGTGGTTGGAATTTGAACCAACGACCCTAGTACTGCAAGGTAGAAGTGCTATACCATTTATCCACTGTGCTGCCCATTACTAAAGGTTCTTTTTTTTTTTCTTATAAAATAACAAACATGTCTATACGTACGTACTGTGTGCAGTGGTTTTGCACAGAGCAGCCTGGATCCTCCTCTTCTCGGGTCCCCCGCAGGCTCTCCTGGCTCCGCCTTTCTGTTGGGTGCCACCATAGCAAGCACCCGCCGCTTCATGTGTCCATTCACATATGGAGCCGTAGCTTGGCCCCACCCCCTCTCTCTCCAGAGACCTGGGACAGCCGAGGCTATCTCACAGGATAGTGAGAAAAGTAAAAGTTAAGCGACATAATCTAAGATTTACCATGACCCAATATCAATACGTGTGAAGCAGTGGTTCAGAGACAATTTTGTCTTGTAGTTATACAGGTCTGAACAAGCATGAAGAGTACCTGTGTTCTGTAGATATAATGCCAGGATAACTCTGAACTAGGTATGATTACTTTTTATGAAAAATAGAACCCATGAGTAAAGAACTCACTGCAAAAGAAGTCCTCAGGAGAACAAAACTGTGGCTTAAAACACAATATTTATTGAAAATGACATGCCCTCCACTCTGCACAATAAAATCATGACAACGTTGCTACATAGAGAAAAACCCACCCTGACACCCAGGTCCACACAGCACACACACACACTCATTGGCCGATACAATGAGGAACCATGAAACCCTGAGGGTCATATGACATCAAATAGGGATCAAGGGAAGATCATAAATTATATGGAAAAGATAGTAATGATGTGACCACGGAAGTCAATGGGACAAAATGCAAATTGAGGCAGGATCATCCTGAAGAAGCTCACGTGACTCAGTGGGCGAAACGCGCTGATGTCACAGCTTCGTGACGCCCCGCGTCCCCAGAACCCACGTCCCTCCATGCGGCTCTACCATCCGACCGCAATGCACCTCACAACTGACCATCTGGAAGACCTCCCATCCCTGGACAACCACATGGCATGCCTCTGCATCTTCAACTCAGCAGCAGGAAGAGATCATTATGGACGACGGCACGAGTGAGTGGACATTGTTCCTGCATCAAGGCATCAACATATTGGGGAAATCCCCATCAATTGCAATTGCTCACCTCATACATATACACGGTATACATGAGGACTGATTGAACTTGTCTCACTATTTAGAAGTTTGATCCTGCCACAATTTGCAGTTTGTCCCATTGACTTCCGTAGTCACATCATTACTATCTTTTCCATACAATTTTTGATCTTCCCTTGATCCCTATATGATGTCATATGACCCTTAGGGTTTCATGGTTCCTCATTGTATCGGCCAATGAGTGGGCTGAGTGCGTGCATGTGTGTGCTGTGTGGACCTGGGTGCCTGGGTATATGGCAACGATGTCATGATTTTATTGTGCAGGGTGGAGGGCATTGTCAGTTTTTGTACTCGCCATATCATTTTCAATAAATATTGTGTTTTAAGCCACAGTTTTGATCTCTTGAGGACTTCTTTTGCAGTGAGTTCTTTACTCATGGGTTCTATTTTTCACTGCATGTTTTGGTCACCGCCCTTCAACTTGGGTGAGTCGACATATTACCTACATTCTAATTCAATGTGTATTTGCAGGGGATCACATTTTTGCTTTTATTTTTTGTTATATTATGATTACTTTTCATGCATGATTTAAAGTTACTGCAAGGCAAACAAGGCCTATGCCTAGGGCAGCATTTTTCAAGGGGGCGGCGCTGCCCCCCAAAAGAAGGGACATACGCGGCATGTAAACCAGGTGGGATCCGAGAGAGACTGCAAACTGCTTGATGGTATATGCAGAGCACTCTCTTGAACTCTCCTGGGGATTTTTGGAGCTCTGAAGGTGAGTGTCTCTGTCTTCATGTACACGAGCAGCTACTAAACTCGAGTTTAGGAGCTTTTGGCATTTGTTTGCCAAAGCTCCTAAACTCAACTCCATAAAAGCCTATGCGTCCACGTACACATAGGCTGTTAGCAGAGTTTAGGAGATGCCACGTTTAGGTGAGGTTAAACCTCTCTCCTGAATGCGGAAGAATCGCATTCAGGATAGGAATGTTTTGACCGCCGACTGTGGGAATACGCAAAATCGAGGTACTGCGGTTACCGTGTTTTGCGTTTTCCCGTGGCTGGCGGTCAGGGTAGGATTGTGTACAAGGAGCCTTATTCTCTCTCACCTCACCGGGGGGGGGGGGGTGTTTATGGGGGTGGTGGTAGTGGTAGGCTCTCTTGGCTGGGGGGGGGGGGGGGGGGGTTGTGGAAGGCACTCGGCCAGGTGTGGGGAGCTTTTGGTGGGTGTTAGTGGAAGGCTGTTTCGGACGGTGCTGTGGTGTTGGTTGGTGTCAGGCTCTCTTGGTGGAGGGGAAGGCATTGCTGATTAAAGCGTGCTTGACTGAAGAAAGGTTGAGAAACAGTGCCTTACTGTATAAAACCATATGAGAGTACCAGACTGCAAACCTGAAAGCAAACCATCTTATAAAGCACAGTGCCCCACATTTAGAAGGCAAACTTTGTTATACCGTACAAATAAAAAAAATTGCACAACTGACAAATTAATATAATTGTGGACTCTATGTAAAGAATATGTGTATGTACAGGTATGTACAGAATGTATAGTATGTTTTATATGTCATTGAAGGGTTAGGCTCTATTCATGACATATCACTTCCAAGCATTAGTACATACCGATTCCACAACCCTCATTTTTGGCAGTAGCAAGGTTCCCCACCCACAGGACTTGCAGAAAGGCCTAACCTCTACTCAGGTGTATAAGCCCTGCAGCAGAAAAACGTTTCAGATTCTCTTTTTTATTTTCACACAAAATGCTTCCATTAAAAATTCTTGTGTTAAAATTGCAGGAGTATTCGGTACATTTATCAACCCCTATTCAACAGATTTGCAAATCGTTTTTACACAATAAGCATAACTCTTCAACAGACAATGTGTAAAAACTTTTTGCAATCCTGTTAGGTACGTTTTTTAACCGTATCTGACAGTCCTGCAATTTTAACACAATGAGATTTTTTTAATGGGAAAGCTCTTGTGATAATGAAGATATGTTTGAGAAATACTTGGGTATACAGTATATGTTGTATACTTCTAAGTAACATCTGAAAAGTCCCTGTGGTTTTGTCTTTCTTAAAAGAGACCATGTGATAAAGATTAAACCACTAACCCTATTAAAATGTTTTCACTGGTTTCTGGTAAAAAAAAATATTTTCGGAGTCCCACATTAATGTACTGTCTGTAATGTAAAGGATCCAGCAGAAAAAGTCACATCTGCTGATAATGGTGGGATAAGGATGATCTGGGGACTCATGAAGAGACCAGCTGGCAGTCATTGACAGATATGCAAAAATATGATGGTGGGTGACAAAAGCCAATAAAAACCCATTCACACTGTTGTAGTACATGTTATGCTGCATTCTAACATGCGTTACATTAAGACAGTCCATTCATAATGCATCAAAAAAGATGCATGTACCAATTTCTGGCAGTGAACTTTGGCACAACATATGTTAGTACGGGGTTTCTCAACCTTTTTACCTTGGAGGAACCCTTAGCAGTTTGAGATTCGGCGAACCCCTGAAAGCAATTTTCAGATCTACAGCTCATGGAACTTTGAATGTCATCAGCGATCTATAGAAATAACAACAATTATTGTAGAAATAGCATTAAATCAGGGTTTCTCAATCAGGGTTCCAGGAGAAGTATCCAGGGGTTTCACCGCAAATCAGTACTGTATATCCACCCAATGTTGTTTTTAGATTCCACTGACAGTGAGTACTGTCAGTGCGCTATAATACCCAATGCTTCCTCTATAGTTGCTGCCCCTGTGAACGGTGCCAAGAGAAGTGGAAAGAGCACAAAAACAACATTGGGCAGATATACATCCACCACATTGCTGATTTATGGCTGAATTCCTGGGATCTAGAGTTCTGCAAACCCCCAGCTGAGAAACCCTGTGTTAGTGCATTGCCCATGCACTGAAACACATGTCCATTGGTAGGTTGTGCTTTGATGCTATTGAGAATGAATGGCTTCATGCCAATGCAAATAATATGTTTTATCACAACACAATACTGTGAATGGGCCCTAAAAGAAACAAAATGCGTTTGGACACTACAGCTTTTACCTAAAGCTTCCCACACAGGTATTTTGCTAATTTGTCATTTACCTAGAATTCAGCTCCACCTAAAGCATCCTATACAGGTATTTTCCTGTGTAATAGATCCCTTCTAAGCTTTCACTTGTCTCTTGCAGGCTGGATCTATGACATTACCCAGAAATATGACTACTCCTTCTACGTGTGTGGCTTGCTGTACATGATGGGAATGATCTGTTTGCTTATGGAGCCCTGTCTGCAACCAAAGGAGAATAACACTAAGAAAACTACAGACATCCCGGAATCCTGAAAATGCAATAAGGATGTCTGAGGACGTTTGCCATGTACCCTGAAACTCGTATTATAGAAAATAAGATCCTATGGCTAGTCAGCCTTGTACAAATACTTGTTCTGCTGTTTCCTGCCTGGCTTGGCATGTCAGGATCTGTACTTTTACACACACCCAGCCGTTTGTTGCCTTTCCTATATTTATGTCTCCTGCACTTTTCTAATTAAAAAAATGTAAAGGTGACTTAAAATATAAAAAGAAAAACTGGTTTGTTCAAAAGGTTTAAGACCACCTAAAACTATACAGTTTTTATAGACATCTACAAGTGCCAGTAGATGATAATCACATAATGGGTCATATGTAAATATAGAAACAGTCATAAATAAGCATGGCGGGTGCCCTTCTAGTGCGCCACCTGTTTATTCTCTATCTAGTGGCTGATCTCCCCATCTGAGGAGGGCTGCACCCCTGAAGTACCGTATTTTTCGCCGTATAAAACGCACTTTTTCTTCCCCAAAACTGGGGGGGGAAAGTTGGTGCGTCTTATACGACGAATAGAGAGAGAATCCGTGAGGCGTGGCCACGGCCGTAGGAAAGGCCGCGGCTTTGGCCTATCTCTGGAGCAGTCAGCCATCTTAGTACACCCGGCGGTGCGCGCTGGCGTCATCACCCCCTCTGCTCGTGGATCAGCCCTGAAGACCGGAACGGCGCGGAAACACGGCGAGAGGAACGCGCGGAGCAAAGGTAAGTGAATTGACACAATATGGGGAATTAATTACTATAGGGGGGATGAATTACTATAGGGGGGATGAATTACTATATGGGGGATTAATTACTATGGGGGATGAATTACTATATGGGGGATGAATTACTATGGGGGATGAATTACTATATGGGGGATTAATTACTATAGGGGGGATTAATTACTCTATGGGGGATGAATTACTATGGGGGATGAATTACTATGGGGGATGAATTACTATGGGGGATGAATTACTATGGGGGATGAATTACTACGGGGGATGAATTACTATGGGGGATGAATTACTATATGGGGGATGAATTACTATATGGGGGATGAATTACTATATGTATTGGGTTCAGAATCTTTTTTTTCTAGATTTTCCTCCTTTTAAAATTGGGTGCATCTTATATTCCGGAGCGTCTTATATGGCGAAAAATACGGTATTTCCTTTGGTTGTCGCTGTCCTGGTTCCCTTGGCTTCCCTTTTGGCTGTGCATATCCTGAGGCGCTGGAGAGTACTTACGATAGCTCTTCTAGCGCAAGTTGTATTCCTCAGGCCCCTTCTGTCCCAGTATTTTGGTCATTTACCTAAAGTTCAGCTCCCTGGTAATTTGTAGAGACACCAAGCAAAATCTGTTTAGCCCTGCACCTCATCCCCAGTGCATAAACTAAAGTAAGAAAACTTCAGTAAAAGGTTCTTTCACACTTTTTCAAGCAGATGAAGCAAGATCCCATTAAAGTGAATGCAGTTTGAGATGAGGATATTCCAGGGTGCAGGACTAAGAAATTTTGGAAAGTTGTTCTGTGGCACCTCTCATGCTGCACAGCAAAGATTGTTAGGGTGCTGCATTTTAAATCCTTAGCAGACAGATATAAATGATAAATATACACAGTATCTAGCAAGTAGAATCACATGCTGGCTTCTTAAGCCTCCTTAAGACTTCCAAAGTGATATGCCTAATAGAAATCCCAAGTCTGCTTGGCTGCAGTACCCAGCCTAGTTCTGGTGTCACAATCCTCTGATGGACTCTACATCATGCAGAATGCACTGCAAGAGTGAGACATGTTTGTTCTGGCCTTGAAAGAAGCAGAGGCAAAAGCTACTGTAAAAAGATGTTAACACTGGGTTTCCAAAACGTTTAAGCTGCCTGCATTGGGTTCCCTTCATATCTGGGCACTGCAAGAACACGGGCGTTGGGGCTGACCGGAGGATTAAAGTGCAGTTATTGGGGCTGATTTGAGGTGTTATCCATTGTTTAATGCAGTTTTGGCAGTTAATTAGATGCCTTTTATTGGCTAACCTAATTTATTAAAGATGCAAGCTTTCAGGACCTTCCTTACATCTTTGTTTGCTCAGCAGGAGATCTGTCTGCTTATCCCCCGCTGAGCAGGCAGGTGAGGTCTGTGTCCACTCCACTTATGCAGAGCGGACATGGGCACAGCCCGCTCTTCCCCTTTGAGCAGTTGGATGTAAATCGCCCGGCTGTCCGTTTACACCTTAATGCCATCCAATCTGATCTGACCAGACTGAGGGAAACAGATCCACCTTCTGTTTTTGTGGGATCGGAGTCAGCTGGTTGTTTACATCTGGCTACCCATAGAGGAGAATGGAGAGTCCGGTCGGGTTTGTCTAAACAAAAAACAGGCAGACCCAACCAGACTGCCCGTGTGAAAGGGGCAGAAAGGCTGATACTGAGGGTTGTATAAAACTAGCATGTGATTGCCAACAACCACTTAAAACTGAGCAGAGGGTGAAATTGACCTTTTGGGCAGATGCTCAATAATTCTTAGTAATTCAGAATCTTCTACTTTAATGAATGCTGCCTGGAACTTGACCAGCATTGTTGGTCATGAGTTTTTTGAGAACAGAGAACCCTTTAAATGTCCAATGGTAAAAGGCCAAATCTCTAAGATTGGTCTATTTTTTTCCAATTCCAGCATGAATAAAGAGGAAAAAATGTTAAATGTGTACGCAAGTTGTTAAGAAACCTATCTTCTAGTATAAAAGGGCTGTTTAGGAAGTATGTTCTTGCAGAATAAAAAAATGATTGTATTGACAAATTGAGAGGTGTCCTTTTCTCCTATAAAAAGCTAAGAGATTGCATCCAGCCCTTGTGAAACATCTTACAGCTAAGACAGTTCAAACATTACACAATAGAATCTGGTGCTATTGCTACATTTCTAACAGGTCAGCTGGCAACTACAGAATATAAATTAATAGATGAATGTGGATCATGCAGAATTTCCTGGTGTAGTTTTGAACTCATCTGGCATTACATAAATGACTGGTAGCTTCATTTATTGAAGGGCCTGAAAGAACTGAAGTCCCTGTTTCTCTACAATATCTAGTCCAGGGGTGTCTGACCCACAGCCCACAAGCCACATGCAGGCCAAGATGGCTATTAATGCAGCCAACACAAAATCACAACAAAAAACTTACTTATAAATGTTGATTTGTTTTTGAGAATTTTTTAGTGAAAATGTGCTTACACTTAACACATGCGGCCAAAGAAAAATGTGATAGTGTCTCATTACTGTTCCTTTATAAGTTTTATCTTCCCAAAAAAAAATATCCCACTCTTCACAATCATGTCTTTTTTTGTGTCATCAGTTTTCAGCAGCACCTATATTTCTGAGCAACCTTGTTCAAGGATGAAGCACACAAAGGGCAAAATTAGAACCAAAATATCTGAGAACCTTGAAAATTAATTGAGAATTACTACTATTTCCATCAAAGCAGATATTGATGAAAAATTGTGTCAAATATCACACATTTCCTTTGGACTTTTACTTTTATAATAAAAAATATTACAAAAAAATGAAGTTTTAATATTCAGATAGGTACATTATCTATATCAGAGCTCGTTAACCTGTGATCTCCTGACTTTTTCTGCTCATCAGCTATCCTTATTAGTATTATTATTTTATTTTATTATGTGTCCCAAGACAATTCCTCTTCTTTCAATGTGGCCCAGGAAAGTCAAAATGTTGGACACCCCTGATCTAGTCAATTTAAAGCAAACTGTCTAGTGCAGGTAAAAAAACACAAGTAATAGCCTTGGGATAACACAGCTCTTATTAAAGGACTCATGCACACGTACATACAAATCCCTGCTTTCAGATTTATACATTTATTTAAAGTTTTATGCCTCTAAACACAGTCCTATGTTAGCCTATGTGGCCATGTACATCAGGTGTTTAGATCAGTTATATAGAAGAATAAAGTGAGGGTGCCCCAGCCTAGTGCTTTATCTTTACACAATATTTATTATAAAAGAGGAACAAAGAGAGAGCTCTGAAAAAGAGGGGCTCCCCCTCGATTCACATCAGCATCTCCAGACCCTTGTGGCAGCTGCCCAGGATGTAAGAAGTACAGTATATATAGCGGCTCTGGCAGTTTTATGTTTGGATATTTTTGATGTGCATGTCCTTTTTTTTGGTTTTGTGAATATAATCACCTGTTTTCCTCTATGCGAGCGCACTCTCGCTTTGTTCTTCTATAGTGGGTTTGGACTACACCAGTCTGAGGAGGGCAGCAAGGTGTGGTGGACATTGGAGAGTGGAAGTTGATCTGGATTAGTCAGAGTTCATCTAAAACTTGAGCACAACTCCTGAGGAGGTTATATTGAGATCAAAGACACGACCATTGGTCCCTTCCCACATGCCAGGGTGCTATGTGTAATCCTAGACTCTGACCTCTCCCTCAGCCTCCACATCCAATCACTGGCTAAATTTTGCCACCTCAACCTCCACAACATTTCCAAAATTCACCCCTTCCTGACTAACAACACCACAAAACAGTTTTTTCACTCCTTCGTTATTTCCCACCTTGACTACTGCAACTCCCTCCTCGCTGGCCTATCCCTACACAGGCTATAACCAGTCAGTGAATGCTGTCCCTCTCTGCCAATCTCTTCACTGGCTTCCACTAGCCCAAACTTTAAAATTCATAATACCACAACATACAAGGCCATCCACAACATTGCCCCCAGCTATATCACCAACCTCATCTGCAGAGATCACCCAAACCATCCTCTCCACTCCTCCCAAGACCTCCTGCTCTCTAGTTCCCTTGTTACCTCCTCCCACGCTCTCTCTACTCCTCTGGAACTCTCTGCCCCAGTATGTCTGGTTAGCTCCTACCCTGTCTGCCTTTAGATGGTCCTTGAAAACTCATTTATTCTGGGAAGCCTACCCCACCTCCACCTAAGAACTGTACTTGAATCACCTCCATCAGATCATCCCCTGCAGCTATCACCTTTTGTACCACCTCCCG